ATACTCAAGTGTTATACATCTAGTCTGTCCCTTTTAATAATAACAAAATTAATAGTGCATGTTATATTATTATACAATTAAAATCTTAATTGAAAACTTCGTGTTGAGTAATAAAAAAGAATTGGTTGTTTGAGAACACATAGTATATATACATATACATAATAATATTCCAAATATAGCTAGTTGAGATTCGTTTACTATATTAGGAATGATCAAGGCTAGACAAGACCATTATCAAGTTACTTATCTGTTGCCGAATCTTTTGTCACTTGCCCTCTTGAGACGCGTCAAATAAGATAGACAAGAACTAAACGTGTTTTAAGCACAGTTGATGTTCGGTTTTAAAAACAAAAAAGCATAGATAATTTAATTATAAATTAAATTCATGAGGGACTTTTATATTTATTTCATGAGGGAAAAAAGAATTTCTGAAATCAAACAGTCTACATAGACCATCAATGAAAATATTAAAAAAACCGGTTTAAAAATTTCGACGAATATAGTTTGTAGATGTCACTTTTAACAAACTTGTATATTTTTATTTACCTAAAAAATTTTAAGCCTCGGTGTTGTTTCAATTAGTACGTATTTAAAAGGATTTTACAATTATAGTGTTAATTATCTATAAATGGAATCTTTTGAAGTAAAAATATAAAATGTGCTTATAAAAATATTGTTTAAACGTATTGTAGTGGAAAATTTAGGAAACATTTGTAGGTAGGCCGCAAAACGCTGCTGTTTGTATCAGTCTTTTAGAGACTCTATTGCTCAGAATGAAATAAAAATTAAATAAGGTATGTAAAATAATGTTTTGTGAAGAAGGCTACATATCAGTAAACTAAGACGAGACAAAATGAATTTAAAAATGTACATACAAGAATTTAACATTTGCACACAAGGTATTTAAATGTTAGTCGGTATAACATTTTGAACAAAACAAAACAGATCGTGCACATTGCAAATTTATCGATACTAATAATCGAGTAGGCGTTGAATCGAGTTTATGTATCGAGTCTGTGAAGCCCAATCACGGCAGTGAAAGGGAAACTCGTTCGCGTCACAGGCTGTATTATGTTACGTTTGTATATTCGACCTTGTTATGCATGTAATTATTACGCATTGTTGTCCACTACTGTTGACGGTGCAATTTTGTCCTCCAAAGGGTACAAATGAATAGCATTCTATTTTTTTGATTGTGCAATCGGATTTTCCCAAGTATTTATGGTTCGTAATGTAGATGATGTAAAACTCGTGTGTATTTTATTTTTCGTGTATTTTACTTACTCTTTGATTTCAATTTAGTTGCAGTTTAACAATTTAAAAAATGGTGTTCACGTGTAACTTTTTAGTGTTACTATCAACGCCATCTATCTGTATCTTAGTGAACTATTTCCAAGTTGTATTTTGATTTTTCTATATTTGCTTGGTATTAACTTGATATTACATTGTTTACACAATTGAATAATGCCTATTAGATCTAAATATAGTAAAAATAAAATCAAGAATAAATAAGCCTAACATATATTAAATAATTTACTTCCTTTATTGTCAACTTGGCTTCGTATTGGATTGCGTAACCTATGTATTGTCCTAACTCGAAGTCTACCTAAAGATAAAATGTTATTAATACAACTCTTGGTATTTTGAGGCACGGCATGTACGCCATTTAATGACTCGTAATTTGCTATTTTATATTTTATAGACACTTAATTATTTTCCAACAATTTGAGTACCGATTCCTTTTATGTTCAGTTAAGCAAGCCATTTAGTTTTAGTGTCAGCGGTATTTGCGAAGTTGCGTGTCGTTTCTTAACTACTATATAAAGCTTAGTTTATAGTTAAATACATTGCAGTCATGGATATCTGAGTTTCTAGGTTTTGTAGCTATAAAAAGATAACAAATTGTCTATTTATGCTTCGTGTGGGTTTTTGTTTTAATTTATTTTACGGCATTCGTGACTTTATCTGTTACAGTGTTCTCCAATGTTGTGATCCCTCGTGGGAGAACCTTTTTCCTAAGAAAAAGATTTAATATGAATACCTACAGTATACCTACATAGCAAAAATCACTTTAATTTTATTTTTTAAGTATTTCAGCATAGGTAGACACGTATAATATAAACTAACTTATACATTCAGAACAAAGTACATATTTCAATCAGAGACAATAAGGTTTTAAATGTCTCTAAACCTAAATCGGAACATAGCAACAGACACATAATATGCAATAATCGTAAGACTAAATCCGCCAATAGCCGCCATCTTTGTAAGTGGCGAGCGGGAAAACCGGAGACCTTGACAACCGGTTCCGTTCACTGCGCAAGCTACGAGACTTTACAAACATCATTTTGAGGCTTTTGATATGTTAAGATACGGGTTTATTACATTTAGATTAATACATTTTATAAAATAAATATATTTTGTTACAATATTTGTGGCTAAACGATTAATTAAACTAAAAGTTTTTTTTAACTAGACCATAAAAATATGTTACTGTTTATTTAATAAAAATTGAATCTATTGCAAATCTGTTTACCCGTTCTATCCGATTCTTTATTTTATTAAATCAAAGATTCTTTTGCACAGATGATCGTCTAGTATTGCTTACTTTCACCCATCTTTATGTTATACTCAAACACAATTTTCTGCAGTACATGTCCAATGATAACATAGCTTTCCTTCTAATTTAGATAAGCAGGGCAACTTGTTCAAAAAACATTCCTTGAAATGAACTTCCTTTCAGCATTGCTGACTTAATCTGCTAAGTCCCCAGCTTCTAAGCTGGATTGTTACAAAAAACTTCTACTATCGACACTAGTTTTAAGAGGAAATAAATACTTCTTCTAAAGTCGTAAAAGTAAGATAGATTTTGAAATTTATAATGAACACAGTAAATCAAAATTCATAATACTTATTTATATTTAACAGCTGATAGAAGACAAAGCATCTTAAATAAGGTTTGAGCTTACAATATAAAAAGGAAACCTCCTATGCCGTTTGACTTTTAAGTTTATTTTAAAATGTTATCATATATTAAAAATATATAATACAAAAAGTAATTGCATAAATGTATATGTAATAACTGACCTAACGATTGATTTCTTTGTGGATGGACGGGACGATAAAGGATTTGTCATTATATATTAGTTAATTTTAATTTCAAAAATTCGTATCGTGTTTTTTTTTTTAGTTAGTATTATTATAGTATCGTAGTGGGTGGTTTTACGCAGAGTAATGTGGGTTCGATCCTCACATGGGACGACACTTAGTGTGATCCTCAACTTGTCGCTCTGAGTCTGGGTGTTCTTTGTTTCATGTATGTTTGTCCCTCGCGACACAGGATATATTCCTAGTGCGGAAGTTTTCCATAAAAAAAGGAAACACCCGTGCACGTTATTGCTTTGGTTGCCACCGCTCCCTACAGTCAAGTTCAGTACAGTTGCGCAGTTTTAGTCACGGTAGTCACTTATTAGGTGAACAAAATGCTCGATCCCCCCCCCCCCCCCCTCCTATAACCCTAAAAAATGTTCTGTTATGAGTATGCCATTAAGTCATTAATCATTTCATTTCATTATTAAACTTCAAAGCTGTTTTAAATATACTTTCATGCATGAACTGTAATGTATAAAATTACTCATAATGAGTAATAAATTCTATACGCCTAATGGTAGCATTAAAATATAACACAGACAGGGGCGAGTTAATATTCGTTCTTTTTAATTCTTTAGTTTTCTTAGAGTCATTCACCTCCTGCAGAGATTAAATTAACCGTTGGTAATTGTTCTATAATCTCAATTATTTAAATCAAGCACATGACATAATGACAAGAATTTAAATATATATTATATAGTTCATTTACACAGTTTTTTTTTTTAATTATAATGTTGCGGGTAATGACGCAGAAGTAAAAGAGCGAAGAAACACTCAGGCGCACTAAATCGTCCACATTTAAATGATTACAATTTAGGTATAAATAAATGGCAGTTCAACCTAAATTATCAGATTGACAATTTTATTACGCAATACTATTAATTTGTTTTGTTTATCTGATATTACTGATACTACCTAATCTTGTATCTCACGTGAAATAAATTATAAAAACCTTGATTTTTACAAAAATGTACACACGGCAAAACCTGGTCATTAGAAAAATTTAAAATAATACGCAGAATGGTTTTGATTAGCACAAAATATGTGTGACTAGAAAGATCATTTATTCTGTGCCTGGTGAGTGTGATTTATCTATATAATATGTATCTATATATAAATATACAAGTATGTTTATCAGCAATCTGGTTACCATATGTACCATTTATTTATAAACAACTTTGTAGCAATCACGACACGTATTACTTTATTCGAACTGTAAAATAACGAAAGTTTTGATCATCCACTGTACGGGTAAATACCATAGATAACCGTATCAAATTATATACTCGTAGTGTACTCTGTAAAAAGAAGTGACCAATGACTAATATGTTTAACTATAGAAATTAATACTTTTAAAAGTAAGCCAAAAGAAAATGGCCATGTTTGCTGTTTGATTCTGGTGGCTGGTGGACTCAAAGACGGCGCCAACCCACTTGTGAGTCTCGAACTTCTGTTTTCTGTCTGTTCGTTTGTCCCGCTATACTATAACAAAATAATAGAGTTAAAATTTAACAGATTACCAGTTGAATAAATTACGTTCCCTTATATGGCATAGTATTATATACGCGATAAAGTATAAATTCCACTATCTAATCTTTGAGCCGAACTTTGCTCTTCAAGATAGTAGGTACCCAGTGATAATATTGTAAGTTTCGTAGAAATATATATTGACGGCATTTATTTAAAAATAAGTATTTGAACGTAGACAGCCGATATAATTACAACTGTTTTTTACTTATCGACAATGAAATAAAACTATTATTTTAAATAGAAGATATTGCCATTGTAAAAAAAGTGTTGCCCCTAAAAAAAGTTTAAAATATTTTTCATAAAGTATTAATTAAATAAAAATGGTGTCTCCGTGGGGTTACAATTTGCATATGTGGACAAACTACGGATTTCAGTTTTGGGCCGAAAAACATCAGGTATGTTGTCTTATTTAAATATTTGACAACAAAATACTTAAATAAAATAGCGTCCAATTCCGATGAAGTTGCAGCTCGAAATACGCTTGTCGACGTGAATATTTCTGAAAACAAAGACAAAATAGAAATTTTGATAATTTTATGGCAGCTTATGCGATTGTATTGAAACGAATGAAAGAATATTTTCTGAAGCTATGTGAGTTAAAGTTTGATCAAATTTATGTAGAGTTTACAGTAAATGTACTTAAAGATCAACTGCGTTAGAATATATTATCGTTCATACGATATTAGTCAAAATGATACCAAAATGAATTATGTGTTCCAAATTTGAATCTCATAAAGACAAATAGCTAGTTCTCTTTTTTAAATATTTGGTACTTAAGAAAATAATGAAAAGAATGTACAGCAAAAAATGTAAGTAGATCTCTTTATTATTTCCGTTATCACTAAAATAAGATTCATTTTTTTTTCTCTGTGACGTCAACAAGAATAACAATTCAATTGTGAAAAAATATTTATACGATATGTCAGCCTTTTATTTAATATTGCAATCACAAAGAATGACGTACTCTGAACAAAGTAGCGTTTTCTATTGACGTTACATTACAAAATTAACAACTGTTTTTTCTACATAGTAGTTTACTGTAATAGTTTCAATAATACTGGCAGTTTTTTTTTCTCATACAATGCACGATAAAAATACGTCGACAAATTGTATAATACGACCTCGGAGTATTGGGTTATTAATTTAATTGTGACTACTAGTGATTTTTAAATAAATATTTATTAACTGTCATTTATTGTTTAAGTTTTTTTTTTGGTTTTGATACCTGTAGAAAAAGGTTCGTTAGCGGTTTTTCGCAGGAGAATAATCTTCCTTTTAACACATCATTAATCTGGTTCAGTTAGTAAATCAATGATCTACTAAATGAAATAGATCAATGTAAATCAGGCTTCAATTAAAATTGGTTCTAAAATAATGAAAATATACACAAGAAGAAAATATAAGGATTCAGAATCGACTAGTTATTAATACATTTCACAATAGAATTGATGTGAATGAAAATCTCAAACCTCCTTTCTAAGGAGAGGCCATGTCATGCAGTGGACTATTAAAGGCTGTCGATGATGATGATGGATGAATATGACCCTTGTAAAAGTAATATTTTAAATTTATCATACCTACAAAGTCAAAGAAAGCGATTAGAAGCAAACGTATTGATAAAACACCAAGTGTTTTTATCAGAGTTCAGCGCCCAGCAATAGTGACGAATTAAATAACAAAGCTTATCTCTAAATGGTAGTTGCTACCGTTCACGTTGATATTTATCATGGTTGTTTTTCAACTGACTTCAAATATTATAACCGTTATATTATATACCGTGGGAAAGTCATGCCTCGGCACAAATGGGCCAGTTCGGCCGGAGTGATAATGGCCGCACAGAAAACCTATATTAAGAAGAGGCCCAAGTGTGACTTTATTTTATATCGACTCGCTCTCGACGGCGAGCGCGATTGGTGGAGATTTCAGTGCGGACCAATCGCAGCGTCGAACGCGGTCACCGTAACGATCGAGTTGAAGTGGAATAAACTCGCACTTGGCCCTCAGTTGTCTCTTTGTATTTCACCGAATGAGTCAACCTCCGCACTCGTAGTTCTGGGGAGAGAGCACTTTAGGGTTTGGGCAACTTGTGTTTCTTTAGTTGCAGGTGTTAATGGGCGATGGTTGTCACTTACCATCAGGTGACTCATTCACTCGTTTGTCGAATATACCAATAAAATTATCTACCTTTCTCAATTGCCATAACGAATTGATGAAGATAGTTGTAATAAGCAGCAAGTTGAGAATACCAGATCCCCGATCCACTTAAGTAAAACCGTTTATCTTAAATCGGGTAATTACCGGTACCAGAAATCTGACGACGTCCGCGATCATAGCAGTATTGCCCAAAGACAACGTACAGTAACTGAAGTGATTACTTTTTAAACAATTATGTCATATGCATGTGTCAAAGTATGAATGAATGGGTTTTAGCGGTGACATAAAGCGCGAACATACCGCGCCAATCGGCATTCCCACTTATGTAACTCAGTTTATAAATAGTTTATGCAAATGTATGAATGTTGAATTACCTGTCGAGACGTACTTGTAGAAGAATTCACGTTAGGAATATTTTGCATTAATTACATATCAAATTGAATATGTATTGTTATTGTTCTTGTGGTATTTAGGCCCGTGCTTTGGACTCTACAAAAACCATTGTTTTTAATCCACACAAAATAGATGGAGGTCTCATTTGGTCTGTTTATATAATAGTGGCGCTTAATGTAAATAAATGTATATCTTACTACAAAATTAGCAAATTAATAATGGAAATTATTTAACGATTGAACGATTAACATCTTAAGACGAGAGATTTCGAGAAATCAATTTTTTGTGTAAATACAATTCCCAACTCTAGTATTTTTATGTTTGTATTTTCAATCAGTGATTTTTCATGACGTAGTATTTATTTAACTAACAAGCTGAAGTATTAGTGGAATTTCTGTTTTTTCCATTCAAGTAGTAGGACCAGGTGAAACAGAGCAACAGAGGAATTTACTCAAGACATGGCAGTAAGACTGCTCTAAATAAGTTGACCAAACATAAGTGTCGCAGATACCCCCCCCCCTCAAGAAGAATAAGAGTGATTCTAATATATGTATACCTATACTAACTGTATGATAATATATATAGCTTATACAGTTTTTCATAAGTTCACAAGAACCATGTAAAATCTTTATTTTACATGGCTCTTTGACGAACGATTTTAATTTCCGTTAAAATCTTTTGTACTATTAAGCAGTTTCAACCGACTGAAAAACAAGGAGCTTCTTATTTATCTAACTGTATTTTGTTAGTATGTGACGAGATATCTTCGCGTTTTCCATAGCAATTTTTCTTATTCTCATTTTAATTGAATTGGTTATACTCCAGAACATTCTATCTCTAAGAGTGAAAATTAAAAGATGAAGAATACATGTATCATGATTTGGTCACATTGAAATAAGTGACATTTTGTTTTTAATTAAATTATTTTTTTACTATTCTAAGATATTTTAGAGTGTTACCACTATATACTCGTAGTAAAAGATTGACGATGACGATTGTTTTAACATTTTATAGCCGAAATATTAACATTTAATTGAGAACGTGAGACAAAATATATATTTTTAACAGACAATGTGTGTGTGTCTATACTAATAGACACACACTCACTCAGACTTATGTTAATTTACTTCGTGCACACATGCACTAAGTAAATGAGCATGAGTGTGTTTGAAAGTCTGGGTTTGTGTGTGTCCCTCACACATATACTTGCATATAATGATGTGAGTGTGTGGAGATAACATAAGATATACGAGTCCTTTGTCTGTGTGTAAACACTTATTTGTAGATGAATGGGGTACGGAAGATTTTACGTCATTAATTTTGTCACGTTTTTTAAAAGTTAGAGAGGTTACTGACTTGTTTTTCGTTTAGTTTTGTAAATATGATAACACCGTCATTTCTGATAGTGTAATATTTTTGATATTTTTGATAGTGTTAACATTCAATAATAAACTAAGAATTAAGTTAACTTTAAACGTTTTGATTCGTATTTGAACGCAATTGTGTATTTGATAAAGTTTTAAACACAAAATTTTGGGTCACAGAAACAATGATAAGCTTACTTGACCGTTGATAACAACCTCAACTTCCAGAGGTCATACGAGTTGTCATTAGGATAATAATTTAATTTAAACTTATTTATGTTTTAATTGAATCACGTACAGAAAACTTAATGGAAAACTAACCAAAATTAAATTACTTTCCACATTTCATAACGTCATAGATCTATAATTAAAATCTATGACGTTATTGTTCCGATGTAAGAAGTATTTGTGATATTAGTTTAGTAAACGTACTTCCCGTAGTGACGTAGTCACTCATTGAGGCAAAGCCTTCAAGCGCGCAGAGCTCAGTGGCCGTGTGATCTATCCGCCGTACACACGCACTCAAGATCACCAAAAAAATATTTAGTCCGTTTTTACATAAACAAAGTAATAACACAAACGTTTTTTTTTTAAATCTAGATAATAACAATCAAGTTAAAGATATAAAATCAGTTCGTTTTGTTTTTTAATTTGGAACACCGGCCGGCATTCTAACCTCAACGTTCGCAATGGATGCGGCGCCAGCGCAACCCTGTACAGATATTCGTTGGTGAATGTGTGAGTGTTTTTACATCAGTGCGGGTGAAAGTGGGTGGAGTAAAGAACTTTAGTAAGTTAGCACGTGCTTTAATACTATGTAATGTGCAATTGGTACTGCGTCAGAGTACATACCAATTGTTTTTAGGTTATGTTTAATTTGTTATGATTATTTTCTTATTTGTTTTTGATAAATTAAAAGTATTTAGACAATTACTTTTTGGCTACGTAAGATCGGTGTTTTGTGTATATTTACGAGGTCAAACGAACGCGTCAAAATAAAACTTGTTCAGTAATTATATGCCCGTTTTTTGGCCAAGTATTTTAAAGTACCTTTATGTATGTATGTATTTACCAACAAAATATATGTTAAACAGTACATAATAACTTCAATATTTAACCACAGTGTTGTTATAAGAACTTTTGAGCATCTTCATTAATTGACTGCACAATTTACGTAATAAGGAAGTCAAATAATGATTTTGTATCGTTAAGGTTACATCATTATTTTCTGTGTACTTTTGGTTTTATTATGTTGGAGTAGAAGATTACTGGATTGAATTGAATGATGAGAATGATTTTTTATATGCGTGTATCGTGTTACATCATTTTTTAAGGATGGGGTCCTCTATTTTTAACGGTCTTGAAAAAATAGGAGGTTTTGTTATCTCAGAACATCGTCAGTTTAGAACCGATTTGGAAAATTCCTTTTTATTTTAAAGGGTATATCTACCTTCCGTTTGGTGTCATTTAAATTTAAAGAAAAA